CTTCCTCTTTTTCGCTTCCCTTCAGGATTCCAAGTTAGGGCTTGCCTCGTGATGCAGTTTGACGATTTGCGTAATGTATGTCCTATCCATTTCCATCGTCTTTTCCTAATTTCTTCTTCAGCTGGAAGTTGGTTTGTTGTCTCCCACAGAAGGCTATTGCTGATGGTATCCGGCCAATGGATGTTGAGTATCTTGCGTAGACAGCTATTTATAAGTACTTGTACCTTCTTGATGGCGGTTGTTGTAGTTCTCCAAGTTTCAGCTCCATAAAGTAGAACTGCTTTGACGTTGGTATTGAAGATTCTCACTTTGATATTGGTTGAAAGTTGTTTTGAGTTCCGTATGTTCTTTAACTGTAGGAATGCTGTCCTTGCTTTGCCAATCCTTGCCTTTACGTCTGCATCTGAACCTCCTTGTTCATCGATGATGCTTCCCAGGTATGTGAAGGATTCTACATCTTCCAGAGTTTCGCCATCAAGAGTGATTGGATTGTTGTTTTCCGCTTTGAATTTGAGGACTTTGATTTTCGTTGTATCGTAAAGCTGTTTCATATTTCCTTCTCTAGCAGCTTTTTCTGCCGTCGTTGCTAGTTCTTCCACGTATTTCTTCTTGTCGGCTCTAATACTCCTCTTCACTTGTTTGTTTGCTTCTATGTATTCAGCTTGTGCTTGGACTTTCTCTGCTCGTGTTCGGCTGTTGTTTATTGCTGCCTTCTTGTTCTTCCTATCTTTGATCTTGTCCAGTGTTTCTGTAGAGATCCACTCTTTATGATGGTATTTCTTTAGACACAGAACCTCTTGACACGTTAAAGTTAATGCTTCCTTGATGCCTTTCCAGTTGTCCTCCATACTAGTTTCTTCTTCCTTCCGTAGATCTTGTAAGGCTTGGAATCTGTTGTTGAGAGCAATCTTGATTTCATTGAGTTTGTCAGTATCTCGAAGGAAGGCTGTATCGAACATTTGTAGTGCTGTTTGTCCACTTGTCCAGTTCTTTATTAGCTTCAGTTTTAAATTGGCCACAACTAGGTGGTGATCTGAAGCATCTTGCGCAGACAACTAATTATAAATACTTGCACCATCTGGATGTTGGATTTTAGTAGTTCTCCATGTTTCAGCACCGTACAGTTGAACTGTCTTGTTACGTGATGGATTCTACATCTTTCAGAGATTCTTCTTTAAGCAAAAACTGATTACGTGAGATGTCAAAATTAACATTATTTTATTACAATATTATTTCAATTAAATAAAATCTATCAGACGATTTAATCATCGTTTTATCATCAAAAATGTAAATTCTGATCAAAGCCACCATAATTGTGTTTGACTTACATATTACACCACAGTTTGTTAATAGATGTTCAGGTTAGGAGAGATATAACATTTCTCACTGATCACGTAGAACTTGAACTTAATGTGATTGTAATAAAATCTAAGCGAAACATTGTACTGAAAGTGAAATTTTGAAAAAATGACAGTTATTCCTCAAAACAAACACAGATTTGGATATACAACAAAGATTAATGTAAATTACGATGGTAATGCACGAAGTGGAAACTGACTTCATTCACAGTATTTCATTGATGTGTTCTTATGTATCCTCTAGGCCAGAGTAAAAAGCAATCGATGTTCTAAAACAAGAGAACATCACGGTCAACATTCATTATCCACAGTACTCTCTCAGTACATATTACTACAAAACTTAATTTTCAACGAATTCTGATGAGATAAGTTTGAAAAACTTTGGTAATTTTGCAACATCCATCTATTTTATCGCACACTATTACATACAAAGGTATTAACTGAAAATACTATTGAACAGATTCATGAATTAATATCGTCAAGAGCAAACGTTTCTTCACCGAAAAGTCTTCATTGGTTTCAACGATAATCGGTGATATTCAGATAGATAGTGAGACATGATTTCAGTTCCGAAATGATTATCACTGATTGCATGTTGGTTTCCCTGTTTGTATTTCATCTTCTCTAGTTTGTTCAAGCAGACACTCAGGTTCCGCTCAAACGATTCATTTGAGATAACAATGTGTTTGACAACTGACAAATACAGTTGAACGAATTTAGGAGATGACAGTGTCCAACAGGATCAGATTATGCTCGATGAACAGTCATTGTTTGACCTGATCACAACAACTGCTTCTTACAACCAACTAAATCTGTTTGATTAAGATCATGAAGCGCCATTGATGATTGATCACCATTGAAACCTAGAGGCACTGGATGGCCGCTTCGTCCTGTTTGGATTAAGGTCTCTAACCTAACGATTCTGTCAAGATTATGTGGTTGAACAATAAATATAATCTTCACAACTATCTGAATACTGGCAACATAATACGAGTTTTCTCAGAGAAAATATACTTTTAATTAAGTTATAGTGATAGTGTAAAATAACTGACATTGTCATTTAAAAACATCATTTTGTTGACCTCAATTGTTTGTAAGAATAACAGTGATTATACTTTCTTGTTGTCTATCACTTCATTATTTCTAATAAATCAGATAATATGGTATTCTCTATTGTGTAGTGGGCGTGAAATGAATCTTAATTCGAATAAGGAATACCGCATTCTAATAATGTGTGTAGGTAAATGATTGTCATCTACTCACACAGAATGGAGATCAAAGAAACTCACATTAAACAAATACATTACAACTTTGATGAAAATCAACAAAGTTTATTTTAGTGGGCGCATTGAAGTACAAATAATCCAGTCACTTATTCAATGTATTGGCAGTCAAAGCCAAAAACTTTTTCAACAATAGAGATCATTAATGTCAATCAACGCTTAATGAATATCAGTCCACCACATGGCAACCTACAAGAATATTGGATAACAATGAGTGCATCTACCACATTAATTGGTTGACAATGAGCAAATAGTTTTGTAAAACTAGATTTTTCTAATTGTCACTTTCAATCATCAAATCAGTAACAAAGAACAATACAACTGAAAAATTTATATAAAGCTGATACGTTCTGTTAAAATGTGATTACTATTTTGAACAGGAAAATGAAGTGAGTGTTGACTGAACAAACGAATTAAATGAGTGTATAATATGAATTTCATTTTGATTCAATAACATCACGTTATTCTGCTCATATTAACTATTTTAGATATATCCCTACATGTGCTCTGTTAATATCGGTTTATTTGATCGTCACATTGCTTTTCGATATCTACAATTGTCAAGACATCTGTCAACAACCTGAATTATAGAATTATGAAGAAGTATTTATCGTTAACGATTCATACAAATATGTAAGTATTCATCATTCATATTTTAATACATAATCACAGTCACATTATTTCAATTATTCACAAAGAATACGTCTGAAACAGCCCAATCCAGTTGTTAATGCCACGTTTGAAACATTTAATACCACACAGGTGAGTTGATTACCTTTTGTAATCAAATTACTTAATCTTATATTTTTCCATCTTTTAAGACAGTTCAGTCGAAATTCCCGTTTAAATATTACGGAAGTGACGTTGAATATTTCTCGATCCATAAAACAGGTAAGCGAACCTTTTTCATTCAACTAAAATTGGTAATGGGTTTTGGTAATCACAGTTTGTTCCATGAATGTGTGTTGCATTTTCATATTCAAGTTGTGAAACATTAGCCGTTTTAGAGTAAACTAAATAAAGTTCAAGCAATTCATCTTTGTCATCTATTCATTTCGAATTATTTCATTCACACACAACCGAATTTTGATCAAATTGTATATTTTCATTATATAAATACAGGTTTATTAGGTGTAATTGGTAGTGTAAGCGGACTTATTAATAATATTATACCAGGCACTTTTCTTCCTGAATATGAGGTTCTACATAACAGTGAGTTTTTTTATTCAGTAAGGTTTTCGGTTGTTTTTCACACATAGACTTTGCATAAACGAATCAGTAATTTCCTTGTTTACTGTACGAAAACTGACCAATACACAGTGACTATTTTGATTGTGTAATTGGATATTAGAGCAAGTGTTCAAAGCACCTAATGGTGACTGTCAATTAAAAGTCATACATTAAACAGGGATTCACTTCAAAGTACAATCAAATTGATTCATTAGAAATGATAAATTAAACGATGTACTCGCCTAAGTGCAAAGTAGCTATTCTCTAGTCTATGGAAAATACAATGCAGAACGTATGTCACAGGAACGATACTTCTATGCAGAACAAATAAATCTAATTTATTGCACGTAAAACTATAAGTGAAGTTGTTCAAGAAGCCGAATTGAATTAATACGCTTAACAACTGTCAAGTTATATTTGACTTCATTCAACTCTTTTCTGGCACTTACTTGATTCATATAAGTTCAATGTCTCCAATTCGCTGTTTGAGGACCATCTTATATTTGATACTTTCTTGATTATCATATTGATGAGATAATAGTATTTGATTTCACGCCCTTCAGAAACCATCAATCAACGAACGACGATGAATAGATTGATAGTACAAGATGATTTATTCGAAACAGAACAACCTAACCATCAAGATCAGGTTCATTGATTTCAGTCAGTTATCGGAATTAGGCATATTGTAGTAACATTTATGTGTAACAATAAGCTCAGTTGAAAGATATCTCTGTTTCACTCGAATAACAGAATCTCCGAAAATGATTTAGTATGGGTTTTGTCAAATGGATATTAAAGGAGGTTTAGTCAGTCGAAAGCTCCTATAATCAACTGCACAGCAGTAAAATTGTATTCTCAGTTGACTGGATTGAAACGTTCATTATGTTTTTAAAATAAAAATATTAATAAACTGTGAAGCTTCTCCATGAAGGATAATCGTTCATTCAAATGTGCCGGTTTACTTTAATCTCGGAAGGTAGATGATAGCTCGTGTGCGAATGCGTTCTACGTTAGAATGTACTTTTCTGAAAGCAGAATTATAGTCACTACATATGTATTTAAAACCTCCCTTTGATTTTCATTTTTTTAGATGAATCGATTGCCGTGAAATGGTACTTTCGAACACATGTTGATGATACATGTAAGCGAACGTTGAATGATCATTTTATAAAATGTAACATCTTACCACTTACCACTCATTGTGATTACTCACAATTTTCCTGTTCAGCTTGAGCAATTTCTTTTTTCACAGTGACTGGCAAATGTGTGAATATGTAGCACCTCTGGAAAGTGGAGACGGAATTACATGTGTGGTCCACCGATCGTTTAAACACTTTTATTTTGACTTGAATAATAGTTGACATAAACTGAAATGGACGGACTTGGCGATTAGTTAAAGGATGAATAAAGATACAATGTCACTTCACTTGCGTAAAACACAAATGCACAGATTAATCATCGCTGATAAGCTTCGATGGAACTTGATGTGAATTCTGTTTAAGTAAACAGCACGCTTCACATCTTCACTAATCACATGGTTATCAAATCAGGACATGCATAAGACGCGATATATGAAGCTATTCAGTTCACATGTTTAACAAATAAATCTGCGTCTTTTATAAGCACTATGGTCAGTGTCGGTCAAGCGATTGCTTTATCAATGTGTTTCTCAAGTTCCATTTGTAAGCGAAAACCCACAACACATGTCATGTAATTTAAGAGTGGATTTTTTTGAGTGTGATTAAAGAAAACATCGCGCAAACATAACATCACGTCGGGTTTGGAAGACTAAGCACCTGAAAGTAACACTTATGGACTCATGTTCGTTTCATCTACACAATGTCAATTCCATAATGTTTGTTTTGAATTCAACAAAGAAAAATATTTGAGATGACACAATAGATGATCACTTAATCTGATCTTTTGTGGGTAAACATTTGCACTGTCACGTCTAACATGCTCATCATTTCTAATTTAGAATTTACACAGCCATTGACTTTTGTTTGCAGATCTTACAAGCAAGGTCACTAATTTGATACATCGGAATGGGAAGATATCTATCTATTATGAGAACGTAAGTTGAACAATCGAATGGAAATAAACTTTTGTTTCACGTACTATAGATTATTCTACTCTTTTCTGCATAGCAATACGCTTGAATATATCAAGATACATTTAACACGATAGAAAGAGATCAACGTTTTGAAATGTGCAAACAGAGTGAATGACACTTTCATAGTTTCTTAAATGACACACACTTTATTCACCTACATCCTAAGAAAGTGAATAATTAGAAGTGAATTACCATCAAACTAAAAGATGATGTCTTTGAGGCAAATAGGGAACCGTACGGAAACAGTCATTTTCTGTCAAACCCTAATACGTCTTCTGAATATAAGATGTTCGGAAATTACATTGCTGAATATTAATAGTGCCTTTGTGTTTAAACTGTTGATTAGTTCATAGCATTTGATATTTCCAAAACTTCCTATCAGATTCCTACGGAAATCAAGTACAGGCAGCTGCACACAAAGGTTCAAAGTGCAATGATTTGTGAATTTAAAATGGGAAGTAAGAATTTTTGCTAGTATTTTGATGTACATTATTCTTTGTCAACACAGTTCAGTTTATGTTGTTTTAGTTTGCATTTATACTCAGTTATGAACATGTCAACACCGTGAATTTTTTGTTTTCGCTCAAAATGATCTTATAAAAATGTTTACAATGATTCGAAAGTAAGACAAATTGATCGAAGTGCTACTGAAATGTTAGACATGGCCGTACATATCGAGATCGGAATGCTTTTCGTAAACGCTCTGTCCATACATTACTGTATACCGAATATCCAATGTCAATTATATGTTTACACTCCTGGAACGGACATTTTGTTGTTAAAGGTGATAAAGAATCATGGTGAAAATTAATCATGAAAATGTCGAACAATATTTCTATGCATTTGACTGTATTGAGATCAAATTATCTTTGTCTTCAACCCAACAACCGACATATATGTTACCGTTGTGAAATAGTTTTGAGTTGTTTTGGTGAATTTGCAATATTGTAGTTTCAATTGTCTATGATAAATTGCATCGAAAATGAATGTGAAGATGCATATTTGCTGACGTTTGCTTAACCTGATATTTCTAGCGTTATTACTAAGATGTTTGAATATCATCATCACGACATTGTGAACGTACAATGGAGAACGCTCACACATACGTTGAACGATGGACTGAACCTGACAGGGGTATATGACTGACAATATTCGGTAGACTACATATGCACTCGTGTATTCACTCACTCACTCACACACTCACTCACTCACCCACTAAACGACGAGCGTGTAACGAGTTAAACACATGTTTTGAAGATGTTGCGCTGATACTATTGCAAACTAAATCAGAAATTTAACGACATCATTTTTCGATTGCTGGTTGAACACCAGTCTTATTTGGAACCAGTATTTTTGTAAAGTATATTTTGTTAGGATGCTGCATTAGCGTCACTGTATCCGCAATAAGAAAAATTCTTTTTTTTGTTTGTCACTCACGAAATGATGTCAAGGAATAGTTGTTCATATAAAAGTAAATCAAATGTGTCTTTTTTTTAATCAATTAGCTGAGTATTTAAGATCACCTGAGATAGGTGTTACCAGTATATGGATCAAAAGTGACACGCTAGTGGAGTTTGAACCAATCGAGGGTATGTTAAACCTTGTTTATTCATCACTTACTATTTTTAAACTTGAATAGATGACATCGTTTTCATCGAATTACAAATGCCATGTGTCATTTTAATTGGCTATTTGATGATATCCTTTCATGTTTCTCAGTGACGTTGCACTTACCATTAATAATTACACATCGATTTACTGTTGATTGTTGAAGATAACTAAGGAACCATTTGGAACTACTACAGGTGTATTCACTTCGATGAAATTTACTGTGAAACGTCGCCACAGGACGATGGATAGGATGATATAGGTCTCGAAAATGTTTATCATCAGCTAGTACATTGCGTGTTGACGAGAATGTTTCCATTGTTTTTGCAATATCGAATTTTTTCTGAGATATTGAAATCGCGAATGCTGAGAATTCTATGTTGCACCAAAAATATAATGTTGAATAAAGCTTCTTATAATAATAATAATAATAATAATAATAATAATAATAATAATAATAATAAAAATAGTTAACACAGTTGCTGAGATCACCTTCCTTTGGTATTTTGACCAGAAGTCCTTCTTTCTAGTCTGTTGGTACTTGTTTTTCATCCCAAATCTTTTTGAAGAGAATGTGAAATATCCTTGCAGTTGCCGTCACGTCTGCTTTCAGTGCCTCTGCTGGAATGTTGTCTGGCCCTGCTGCTTTGCCACTCTTGATTTGTCGGATGACAATGCTGATTTCTTCACTTGTTTGTGAGTCGACATTGATTGGGAGGACCGTCGGTGCCGCTTCGATATTGGGTGAGTTCAGTGGGGCTGGTCGATTCAAGAGTTCTTTGAAGTTTTCTACCCAACTGTTTCGTTGTTCTTTAATGTTTTTGTGTTACGTCCAAGTTTTGCTCGTTCCAGTTATTGAAGCACGGACTATCGATCTACTTGCAAATTACGAACCCAAATTGACAATAGAACCGAAACTCCGATTCAGATACCACATTTATTCGTAATTCACAAATAGTCGACCAAATGTCGTTCTAACAACAATAACTATAAGAATTACAAAACAGACCTTCAATTTTGTAGGTTCTCGGAGCAAAACTACCAAATACCAAACCAACGACAAAGGGAAACCAAAATGTCCGAAATAATGATATAAACTAACAAGTTCAAAAGTTAAGTAAAGCAAATACATCTAAAAACACAGTAAATTATTACTATACGATTGAAAGGTTTTAATCCGCCAAATGTCTTTAGTTGTCCTGTAACAGGTGATTACTTCGCCTTCCTTGCTTTTCGCTGGTCGCTCCGGTTTACGGTGATTTCGAGAGAGTTTCTTAGTCGTGTTATACAGTTGTCTCATGTTTCCTTCTCTTGTAGCCTATTCCGCCGTCATTGCTAAGTCTTTCACATATTAACGTTTGTCAGTTCTGATACTCCTCTTCATTTGCTTGTTTACTTCTGTGTATTCAGCTTGTACCTTGTCTTTTTCTGCTCTTGTTCGGCTGGTATTGATTGCTGCTTTCTTGTTCCTCCTTTCTTGCATCTTATCCTGTGTGCCAGCAGTGATCCATTCCTTGTGATAGTGCTTTTTGTGGCCCAGAACCTCATGGCATGTTGATGTGATTGCTTCTATGACCCCCTTCAAGTTGCTCTCCATAGTAATTTCTTCTCCACTGATTAGATCATGAAAGGCCTAAAACTTATTGCTGAGGATTATCTTGAATTTGTTGAGTTTGTCATTATCTTGAAGAGAGGCCGTATTAAAATTTTGTGATATTGTCCGCTCCATTGTCCAGTACTTCTTGAGTTTCAATTTCATCTTGGAGATCAGCAACTGATGATCTGATGCTATATCAGCTCCTCTCATGGTTCTCACGTCTTCCATCATCGTCCTGAACTTTTTGTTGATGCGGATATGGACGATTCGGTTTTGCGTGATCTGATCCGGTGAAGTCCATGGGAGTTTTTGAATGCGCTTATGTGGTAATATAGTGCCGCCTATGGCCAGTTTATTGAGGGCACATATGTTTGCAAATCTCTCACCATCCTCTTTCCTTTTTTCCAGTCCATGTCGTCCCATGATGTCTTTATGTCCGGTGTTGTCCATTCTAACCTTGGCATTTAAATCTCCCATTAGAATGGTCAGGTCTTTTGTTGGGCACTTCTCGATGATTGACTGCAGCGTATCATAGAATTGAATTTTAACGTTTTCATTGTGGTCGTTGGTAGGCGCATAGCGTTGGATGACGTTCATTGCAATGCCCTCTTTCGTTGTTTTCAAGGAGACTTTGGTGATCCTTGGTTCATGATATTCCCATCCTATAAGTGCATCTTGTGCTTGTTTCGACAGCATCAAAGCAACCTCTTGTGTATGTGAGGCATTTTCTTCTTTATGGCCGGAGTATAACAGAAGCTCCACTGAAGCTAGTCGTTGTTATCCAACTTGCGTCCAATGTGTTTCACTGATCTCTAGCACTTTCAGGTTGTATCTCCTCATTTCTGAAGCGATTTGGAAGGCGGTCCCAGTGTCCCACATTGTACGAGTATTCCATGTACCTTAATAAATGGTTGCTCTGGTTGTTAGAAGAGGCATCGTTCTCGCGACTTCCGAAGGAACTCGGCTTTCATCATGTGGCGTCATAGTCATTCAAAATGAAGACCTTCTGACTCCCAGGGCAGAGTTTAAAAGGTTTGAATAAATTTTTCTGGTTAGCGTTTTTTAGCGAGTTATTTTCCTACGGGATATGGTCGCTAACCTCATGCCTAACCCTTCTCCTTTATCCGAGCATGATACCGGCAGTAGCCCCAGGAGGTACTCGAAGCGGCTTTGAATCAATGAGTATGTTCCTTTCCTTCTGAATGTCTACAATCAGTGGCTATAAACACTTCTCAATTTATCATTTGTTAGACTATTTGGCACCGTATTGGGACGGAGTTTACTTTACACATTTTGATATTCACTTATTTCTTGTTTGATAATTTGAAATGCAGTCACCCTTTTTTTTCCGTAGGGATTTGTTCAATTCACAATTCGACTGGGGAATGCCAAAATGCGACAACATCAAATATGAGATGTATTTGGTGTGAAAGAGCTAATATGTGCATTAATAGCAATGATAAGGATACTCATGAATTGAAAGTGGACGATTGCCTTATTAAAGTAAGCAATTGTTAAACTTCATAGGTTGCCCTAAATGTTGCTATATTTCACATTGCAATTCCTCTAACTCAAAAGATCATTTTGTCACTTCAAATACGTACTGATTCGTTTATGAATAAAAACGTTGTTTAGCATTAATGCTTGGAGTCATATTAATTTATCAACCAGGTGATTTCAGAAATCAAATATGACACCGTATATCTATGTTGTGATCAAAACTGAAAATAACGTAAAACGAATGATGAATTATTTGAATAACACACTATGTTGAGTAATAATGTTATTGTTTTGTTTTTCTTCAGAACACGTCCGTAAACACACACGTGTCCGAACACAATAAACACAATAACACACTTTATTATCTGTATATTGTGATACCAATTGTCGTCTCAGTCTGCGTTGTGTGCGTTGGATGCTTTATTGGTCGGTGTTTGTATAAGAGAAAGAATAGTAATTCATGATTCTCAAAAACTTCATATCACTTGTTTTTAATAATTTGATCGAGTTGTTTTCACTTCGTAATTCATCCAATAACTTCACATTTTGTTGTCCGTTCCCGTTTGCTGGACGCTTTTCTTTATGCAATTTTGAATCAGTTTTATGGTTGTTAACATGATAACTGATGTAATTTTGTTGATAAAATAATGATAGTCGTTTCTAACATTTACGTGATTGTTTTAATTCAATAAAAATGAATAATATCACAAGTGTTTACGGCATTTGATATGTGAATTAGCAGTATTCTGTTTACGACGCTTAGTGATAATTGCGATCGACAATTGTTCCGTTGCGAATGTCTATTTCGATGAGGTCCTACTCCTAAAAGATACCACTTGAAGTTTACGATGGTCGTTGTTTGAAATTGAGCTGTCAAAATATTGTATCGGTATTAAGTTGAACACTTCCATCCTTCGTTACATGAGTAGGCACTAACTGGTTAGTGCTGGATGACAAACTATAGTTAGTTAGATAATATGACGATTGAATGTGAAATATGTCTAAAGAGTTGGGTATATACTCAAGTAGGGATGAGTAAAAGCGTAGACTGCTCAACTTAGTAACAGTTTTATCGTAGAACCATTGAGTAGGATAATAGTGCTGAAGGACAATCACTACAATATTTCTACCACTTGATGAGCACTTTGTTGTACACTATATATTTAGTAGTTATTCTCACCCACATGTAGTTGTGAAAAAAGATGTTGCGAAGATTCATTCGTACTGTTTGTTTGAACGTTTGCGTTGATGTTAAAGACTGCCATTGATCGGTTAGTTTACGGTGTGTTTTAGTCGTGTTTGAATTGCCTCGAAAATCCCATTACGTCACGAGTAATAAAAACAGAGATGGATGATATCTAACAGTGGAACGCCAGAAACGTGTTACTTTTTCGTAATTGAGACTCGTTAACTGGATGTGCCTGAGTCACAGAGTTGATGTTCACTCCAGACTCTATTACGTCATCTGTTTAGTTACTCAGTTTAGATACACACCAGCTTCACAAGCAGTTTCAGTGAAGCACATATAGGTGTGCAAAGATTTCGGAAATGTTTTTCATGTGGTAAACTGCATTACCAAAAATCATGCCCGTTTGTCATGCCGACTCGTAACAGACATCAACATAGTAATTTAGTATGCAAGAGCACTGTTCATTTTGCATCTTGTCATACTAAATCACTTAATTTTAATCCCAATAAAAGTGAGGTTATTGATGATCTTATTTTGTTTTAGTGTTCGAAATGTTTGTTTCCCGAGTATAAGCGACCACATACCTAGTTTGGTTTATTCCGTAATTTTATTGTTGGAACTAGCGATATACTGCTCCTTATTTCAGTCGTTGTTAAGTCAGTAGAAAGTCCTGATCTGGATATATCTTTGACAGGTTTGAAGAAGACCACATTGCTTTAATTAAAGATTCGAAAGCTATGTGGTTTTAGTGATTTGAAGATAGGGCCTCAGAATTTCACTCAGAATGTGCTTGTCGTATCAACTTTCTACTTGGCATTTTTACATTCAACTACTTAATGTGATATGCAGGAATAATGTCTTGACTTGGATATCCATTAGAAACTTCTCTAAAATGACGGTGTAATTTGAACATAATCTGCTTAAACAGAATATGTAATTACAATCTAGAGAATCGGATTAGTTTTGAGAAATTATTCAAAACGTTACTACACATCAGGTGTTATCAAAACAGATTTAAACGCCAATGTGAAACGTAGATATCCGGAATATTATTTTTGACGATCTCTATATCAGATATTTCGGTTATGGCACACGTTTGAATGGCTGAATGTACAATCGTATATACATATATTACCGAGCTAACGACTGCGATAAATATGATGGTACAAAAAGTTATCGTTCAAAATTGGCTCAATGACAAGTGTCATCTCAGTCCCAGGAGAGAATCAAACCGGTGTGCTTATCAGTACCTTAAAATTGTTACTAATCAGCATTTTGACATCTGTTATTTGTGATCATCACAGATGAGCACTCACTGTGGATTTGGACGGAATAGTAGTGGATAGAGTGTTACCAACACATAGGTGGCTGATATATTTGTGTATGGAATAGTGCACAGTTCTCGTCAAGCATTCGTGTTATCCAATTGACAAATGTACTTCGAATTCCGTTGACCTGTAAATAAGTTAATCTTATCCAACCAGTTATCAAAGTTATATTGAAGTCGTGTTTGCTTTCAAATTACCGCTTAGACTAAAACGATGGCCACTAACAAACGCGATTATAAATGAATAGGCATAAGAGAAATGGTTATTTGCAGAAGCTAATTAATCATGTAAGGTCTTGTTAAATCACGAGTACTCGAGTATTTGAGGTTCATTTTGACCTATCAATTTTAACGATTTTCAGTCCGTGAACGACAGCTCGTCGAAGCACTAGTAAGAATAAGGATTGGAGTTTGAAAGGAACAACAGTACTTCGGCAAGTATTTGGTACTGAAAACAGTGTGAAAATTGTTATTGAGGCTTCATTACACCAAAATAAGCTCATTCATACTAGATCCTACCCTTTTTATCGTCAAAAAGTATTTAGTTCAAAGGAATGCTTCAACGTTATGACAACCTACTATCGGAGTATGCTCGTCTCCGTTTTGTAGATAATTAATAAATTGGTTAAGCATGCCTATATCTTATTTTTGCAATGATGTAATGATTAGGTCCTGTCGAGTGCAATTAATTTCATAAAATATCAAATATGAGACATATGTTCTGTTATCAGAGTGTTACTTATAGTTATATACGAAACGAAAATTGAATATAACAGCATTAGGTCTCTTCGGTGAGACTCTAATTTATGGACGACGTTTGAACGAATCTTAAGTGACTTTGAGAAATATTATACAATCGGCAAACAGTCGGTATGGAATAAAAATAAATTATGCAAAACCAGGGAAATGAAGTGGATACACTTGCTATACGCGGTTCAAAAACTTTTCAGTGTTAGAGAAAGGTTCAGAGGTTCCAAAATGGTAATGCATGCGGTAGAGAAAATCGTCCAAACGGCTTCAGAATAGTCAAATTGATGTTGTCATTCAAATTTATCATGTCTAATTTTATTGGTCAAGGCATATCCATTTCTTCTACCTGCGTTGTATCTCGTTCAAAATATAGATCAGAACTATCCGATATTTAATCTCTAGTCGTCTTTGAACTACACAACATTGATGAACGCGTTATTAGCTATTTCATACCCAGTTACTTTGTTTTTAAACTCATACCAGTCAATAAACTTCTAAGTATAATGTCTGTAGAAATAGCCATAGCATTATTTGACAGAAATATTTCGGTACACTTCACTCACTCATGTTGCTCTTCTTTAGATTCAGATACACTAGAATAATCAGACGTACCTGTTTCATCTCTGTGACAGAAGATAAACGTAGAGTTGATTCTCTAATAAACCTTCAGGATTAATTCTCAAATAGAAAAGTGTAAAGAGTGTTCTCAGCAGCCTTACTGAATGATTCTAAAAATAGGCTCACACCTCAACTTGTGGCTTACTTACGGGCTGCGAAATCGGTGTCGCAGACAATTTCACTTCTGTGCACTGTCCCAATGCATATAGATTTAAACATGCTTCTCTAAATTTCAGTGTGTGTGTCATTGTGTGAAGTTTAACTTACCCTGGTACAAAATGGTATACTAGAAGAGGTCATTCATGTGATGATGAACTTGTAGTGACTCATATTTATCACGATAAATTGGTTTTGAATGCTTGGCATACGCTTGGTCTCGAACTTGGTCGTTACGGTCGCTTTTGGTCTTTTGGCTCAACGTGGTTTCGTCCTACGTCTGCAGCGTTTCTGGTCCTCATTCCCTACGAACGCCATCTTCAGATTCTAGATACAAACTACTCGTGTGTCATGCCAACTCAAGCAAAAAATACGGCACATCGCTTCTGGTACCGTTCTCCGAAAATGACCTTCGTTGGCAACTCGACGATCAACGATAGCTTTCCTGTTCGCCAATTCATGCGTCCTACAATCGCTCGTCAGCTGATCAGTCCCACGATTTAAACCGCTATTTATCGAAAGTGTAAACCCTTTCTAGCGAGGGGCTCCTGTAGTGACTCACATTTATCACGAGAACACCACTGGTTTAATGAAAACAATTATTATTATAACCAATTGTACCAGTGATTATTTTAATGTGCTTTTGTTTTCATGTGATAATGACAGCTATATTGTGCTTCCATTCTTATCCTTACACTTTGATTGTAACTTCGCGCAAATTCGGTTATGTTCTGTAACCAAGCTTGTATCCTAGAACGATCTCGGTATCCTTTCGATGCCACGAGATCGCCAGCAAATAAACATCGACTTGGTCTATTAATTGCCTTCTGATATTTGGATTCTCGGGGATTTATGGAGTCATTTGGCACGAGCTTCTTGATAGCGGTGTCCGATCTCCACTCGACGACACGCTACAAACTCCTCTCAATACTATAGAAGCACCACTGTTCACAGTTAATTCATACGCTCAACAAGACATAATGGAAAATTGCAAGTAGTTTACTGCTTAGATATCATTTCTATATATGTACAAGTAAACAAATAAGTTGAAAGCGGTGACCGTTTGAAGGGTGTTGATTCTCGCTCTCATCAAACTGTCTTACAAACTTCTTACAATGAAGGTATCGTAGAACGTCAGACTTATTAAGATATTCAGATCCAGATACCCTGTTTAAATGCAATATACTCGTGATTGCCATACATGAAAAGCATATAGAAGTATTATGTACAACGGATAACTTACATAAATTAAACAACATAATTAATGGTGACACTTGCAGGAAAGTTACCTCATAACAAATGAATTCACAGTAGCTGTATATACTAAGCAGTTGATTAGCGTAAAAACCACTGACCATGAGTTGTCATCAACTATTAGTAACTCGAAAGCATAAAATCAAGTTCCTCTTATCAATAAACGCGTGAGAACACTTAAAGGTTCTGGTGTATTTACGATTCTGAGTAATGGTTGTAGAAAAATCACAAAGCTCATCATAAGTCATCATGTGAATAGTTAGAAAACCTGAATTAAATCGAACCCAGTGTCAAGTACATGACCAAATACTATAAAGCCTACTTCATTCTACTTCATTCGCAAACTGTTAAACATATATATCCATAATGTTGAGTAACCATGCGCTTAACTGTCACAATGATTGGTGTAAAATGGTACACAGAACGTGGTGTGAACCATGCCATAAGGACGACTGATCAAAGTCTCATAAACAATATACATAGAGTGTAATAACTAGTGGAGCCTAAAACTATCCGGCTATCATTAGGTTTGATTATGATCATCTAAACCAATATGATCACATGAATAATACGCACTAACTTCATTGAAAAAATGGAGAAAGAAGACGAGTAAGAATGTTGCTGAATTTGAATGTACAACTGATCAAAAATATGACAGTGTGGGCATTGAGAGGTCTAAGTTAAAGTAGAAACTGAAATGTGTATATAAAATTGAGTAATTATCAGTATTTATTTAAAAGATACTGAAGGCTGTGCAGACAATATGAGCTACGCCTAAGTTCTCTCTTAATGAATATAAACTTCATAAAAACTACTTTTTTATGTCAACTTTTTCTTTTGATTGTATGTATTTTAGCTTCATAAAAAATTCAGTTGATAGGAGGACATCATGGAAAAATGTAAGTATTAGGTATTTTAGAGTGTGGAACATCTCATAGCATCCAACGTAGAACCTCGTATTACCGCTACATATTATTTCTGTATTCTACGCTATATGTGACTGTAGATTTGTATTTGTGGTATTTGTGGTCCGCAGTTAGTCAACAAATACCAAATGCATTACTCATTTTAATTATAAATAATAAATCGATTTCATAAGGTGACATGAAATTCAAATGTTTGGTTATCTGAGATGATATTTTCTCGAATTCTCTTTTATATGTCTATTTTTTCAATATATTTGGTTTTTCTACATTCATTTCAATAACTACATGAAATTCTTTGAAAAATTGTTCAGGTTGCCCACAGTGAGAACACTGATCATTCGATCAAAATAGTCTCATTACTCAATGTTATCCACAAGGTAGATAGAAACGTACCAATAACAGTGGTTTTCTGACCAATTATCACCACTGAAACTTTTATTATACATCTGGAAGGGCTGTGACATTGTGTACAATAGTAATTTGATCAGCCTCTTCCTTCACCATAGACTAATACTCAAGTTCTCCGATCAATGTTCTCACATTTTTCTCTCATTCTCTATAGACGTTTCACTTTCAAAAGACATAGTTTGCCTCCATATTATTCGAGGTCACATTCTATTTTAAATGAAGAAATATCTCGTTATGTAACGTAACAGTTATTAGTCTTCATCTAGGCTCAATGATATTCTGGAAGAATATTCAAAGTCATAAATTCCAGATTATCAGTTTTGCAATTACGAGACTACATTTTTGAAGCTGCATTACTGTTTTCAGTAAATTATTACTATCAACGAATATGATATTATCGCTTGGAAAGATGTGTATATTTACAATCTTACAGCTATGAGAATAATTCCACCGTGAATGTAAATCCTTGTGTGGTTCTATTGTCTTCATTTTAAAAAGAATTTTCGAATTCAGAAGAGAGAGGCGGGATAGGAATCGATATAAACTTTTCAATTAATTCTTAGGCCGTAGATACTAGCTTATGCACATGCACTTATTGCATTGTTGTAGTATCTATCTTTTAGAGGATGTCATGAAAACACTTGACTAGTGAACATCAGCCAATTCTGATTTGTGGTAGTAATCTGCCAGTTGTATTAGGTGCTGGTAACGCGATATCATGACTTCAATAAAGTTAAGATTATAAACCGTTGTGTGTCAAATCATGAGTCTAATGGTCGGTGTGTGAGTAGTTCTTCGGCTTACAAAAATTTTGAGTGTTTGCGATCTCAAAGAAACACAAAGAACAAAGTCGATATGAACTCTGCAGTGATCGAATCGTAATGCATGCAAAATATGGCTATAAATTCGATTGTTCTTTAGATGCTGATAAAAACATGTAAGCTTATATCATGCGTCGTGGTACAAATGACTTCCTTCACTAGCGTGTTTTGTTTGCAATCACTCACCTTTTATTTGATTCTGAGAAGGCAAGTGAACATGAAAGAATGATAAGTTTGCGCTCAATCAAATTATCAAAGTAATTTACCTGATCCAATGCCCCGAAAATGCTCAATTCAATACTCCGTAGGAATGTGAATGCCTGCGTCTATAAACTACTATGGTAAATTGAAATGCATGTCATATTCATGTAATTTTGTCACTATCTAATGATATGATGTATCCAGGTAACAGTTACAAATCATGAAATCCTTTAGGTAGTTGGTGTTACGTCCAAATTTTGCTCGTTCTAGTTATTGAAGTACGGATTATCGATCTACTTGCAAATTACGAACCCAAATTAACAACAAAACCAAGCTCCAATTTAGATACCACATTTATTCGTAATTCACAAATAATCGACCAAATGTCGTTCTAACAACAATAATTATAACAATTAATAAACAAACCTTCAATTTTGTAGGTTCCCGGAGCAAAACTCCCAAACATCAAACCAAAGACAAGAGAGCACCAAAATAACAAACCAAAGACACACCAAAAATCCGAAAAAGTCATATAAACAAACAAGTTCAAAAGTTAAGTAAAACAATTGCATCCAAAAATACAGTAAATTATTAGTGTACAATATAAGGTTTTAATCCGCCAAATGTCTTCAGTTCTCCCGTAACACTCCCGACCAAAAGAACCTTGGTTCTTTTCACAGACAAATAAATAAGCAACAAGAATCCAAGTATATGCATCACAAACAATCAACAACAAACACTCAATATACCAACAATCTCGTGATCCCTAGGACTTACACCAGTACGCCTAGGGACCCGAGTAGCTACCTACCATCTACGGCTTCAAAAAGACACAGTTTTCTAATATCTCTCACTAGGATCACCTTTCTTGTCCTCAATTCTACCTGCCTCACTGATCTATCCTTACTTGGTAACACTCTCTGCACTAGACCTAAGGGCCATTTATTTTTCTCGGAGAACTCGGGACACATCAATACTAAGTCACCCTCTCGTAAGTTCCTCTCTAGTTGGGTCCACTTGTATCTACACTGCAACAGCGAAACATATTCCTAAGACCAACGCCTCCCAAATACTTGTGCAAAGTAATTCGCTTGCTTCCATCTCTAAGAATACCTGTTATTAGATAGAACGTTAGTGAGTTCTGCGAAATTCTCTCACAATAGTAATAGTTTCGCTGGTGTTATTGCATCGAGATCATTCGAGTCGTCCGGAACCGGAACCAAAGATCTATTGTTAATTATACGCTCAGCTTCTATCATGAAAGTTTCAAGGCATTCATCTGCTAAAGATTGTTTTTTTACAAGAGCACCCAATACTCTACGTACAGAGCGAATCATGCGCTCCCAAACTCCTCCCCAATGACTAGCAGCCGGAGGACTTAAATGCCAGTCAATCCGTTCTCTTAGCAAATCAGAGTGTATACGCTCCTGCACCCAATCCTGAAGACATTTTCTTAGCTCACGTTCAGCCCCCACCAGGTTCGATCCATTATCACAGTAGATCTCTTTTGGATAGCCTCTCCTGCCGATAAACCTCATCAATGCCGTGATAAATGAGTCTGTGGTAAAACTATATGCAATTTCCAGGTGCACAGCTCTCAACCTTAAACATGTGAATACACAACCATATAACTTCTCGGTACGTCTACCATGTTTAACCATAATGGGTCCAAAATAATCTACACCAACTGATAAGAATGGATAGTCACCATCTTCTATTCTGCTCGGAGGTGGTGGTGCCATCAGTTGTTGAATGGGGCAGGCGTTCATTCTTTTAAAAATAAACCCAATATTTTATCACTCTCCCCATGGACACACCACCCTTCAGCACCCAAAATTTTTCTCGAACTGTTGCCATTACCTATGTGGCGCCAAAATGCCCTTCCAAAATATGGTAATACTGTAGAATCAAATTTGTAATTCTGTAGTGGCATTGGACCATAACCACACAATCCTCAAAGCTAAATGCGAGATTACTCATAAAATAGATATTCAATATTTAACGCGGAGAAATACCTAAGAATGGAGAAGGCGCGAACAATGAATTGAATAGACTAGAGTTGATCGAACGGCATGGCTCGGCCATGCAGGCGTGGTCTCAACTGAATGTTACCTTATATCTCCTATCCATATTAAATATGTTGTTCTTTCTCTAGCCTAACCTTGTTCTACATCATGTATTGGTAATTGATACGATACAGTGAGTTGGTGTAGTCGATGGTGTGGCTTCCACGTAAGATTTTATAGATTAGGCAGTCATATCATGACAAATCTACAAATTTAGGATTAAGTCTATTATTAGAGCAGTACTAATATCATAGTAGATCATAATACTACATTGGTGAGCCCAACTAAAGAAATGCAACCCATTACTGTTAATCCTTATTTCCACCTTAACCTTCTAAATCGGTTTTTATTTTTGTAAACCCAGTATTCGTATAGTCCTTTGATTAATGGTCACATATATTATCGTAATGTTATATCTATTAGTTCACATAACTTACTAGCTCAATCGATAATAAAAGTTGATCATCTATATCAACTTAATAGCTTTGATGGTTCGTTAACAAGCTTTAATAGCATTTACATGCCTCAGCGACATAGACTTGTTTAAACATCAAGCTCTAGCAAATATGACCTGTAAATAGCGTAAATATACATTGACTAACAATGCGATCAAGGACTAAATAGTTATCTGGATCTAATTCTTAGTGTTCCTTCGCTTAACACATCCTGTTTTAAACTGCACTATCCTGTAATATCTTTTCTCCGATCACTGCCTGCCTAATTTCATATTCTCGAGTTCCATTGCCAAACAACAAGGATGACACTTCTCCAAAAAATACGGTGAGTCCCAGCTATAAGTTTTCTGCAATCATAAGTTCATTTTAGATGACTCCTTCAATGGCACACACAGTTATCTGGATCCATTCGATCGTTCTGATCCGAGCGAGTGGCAAAAACTTCAACAGCATCAAGAACCCTGGAATTAATCGCCATACTGCATGTTTCATTCTGGATACTTTTGGATCATTTCTACTCCTCACGAATGGCGTTATATATGTCGTCCACTGAATAATCTAATTTTCAAAAACAATCCAGGCGAGTTCAACTATTTCACTTAATGATTTTTTGTACTTAACATGTATATATTTTCCAGTTGCTTTTGCCATATATTTGTAAGTGTCCCTAGGCTAAATGCAGTAACTTCTTATGGAATGTTTATAACGCGTCATATTCCTGCCTAAAGTTTCACAAGCAGTCTTAACTTTAAAGTTATTTTTCTGGTCATGTTCATTATTTTTAAATCATCATATACGTCAACAACCTGCATGTTAACCTGGCCCATACATAAGTTACACTATATCTCCATGTCTTCTAAATTTAGAAATCATCTGGATCGCCCTTCACATTTATTAATAAACCCATCATAGTCGTTGTTGCTAATCGTATTTGGATTTATGGATTGGTTTATCATATTAGCAGCCTGAAATACGGACATAGTTTAAATAATAAAATTACAAATTCAGAGACTATCAACTACACTTGTAAAATAACTAAAATCTCAGGTAGTTTTTGGCTAAATAGATGTTTAACATCAGAACTCCGGAGCCTACTAAAATTAACACTAGACGAATATTCTCGAATTGAAATTTATAATATAATAAGGTAGCTCTGATTCTTTAACATTACAAATTTCTGATAATTTCGAGTCACCTAAAGCAACAATATCTATTTTTCCACTGACTAATCCTCAATCAACACTATAACTAGTTAAACGTAATAGTTTCAGGATATCGTCATAAAGCATTGTCATGACTTGACAATCACGTTATATGATTGATAAAATTAATGAAACTATTAACAAAATCGGTCAGCAAATTGACTTGTAGTTATCACTAGTGTCGTTTTCTTTAATCTTCCTTCACTACAGATGATTACAGTATGTTTCTCTATCAGTTGCTCACTCAGTAAATATCTCGAAACCTTGTCAGTCTAATTGAAGGTTTAGCGACACAATAATGCATGCAAATAATCAGTATAAGCAGTCGAGCAAATCTCCTGCAAACTGAAAATATCAATGTCGAATTTACCCCAACACTGACTAAGGTTGAAGCCATTATCATAGACGTGAGTTGAGAGTGTACTCCCCTTGGTTACAACTTATGTTCTTCCTGATAATCACATGAGCATACCCACCTGTAGAGACAGATCAGTTCTACC